TTCATGGACTGAAACGACCCACTCGCCGCCGAGCAGGGGAAGTGGTAAAAGCGTGAGCAGCCCCCCGCCTGGCATGGAATGGTAGCACCCAGCCTATTACAGTATTCACATCGCTGAGGGGGGGGGGGCAACAGGGAAAGCAAGAGTGAGCCCAGGACACTAATCAATCATCAATCAAACATTTCACACCGCCCACGTCAGATGTTATAGGAGCATTCCAGAACGATCGGCTATAACAAGTAAACTTCCAGTGACCTGTCAGCTCCAGGGTGCTGTGGAGAGTCTGAGGGCCACGGCTCCCTCACGCCTGCCTGGCCCCCCTTCTGCCCGACTGACCTGTTCTATCCCTGAGATGATGGCCTTCTCCACACCCTCAAGCTCCTCGCCGTCTGCTGCTCTCACTCCATCCGACCACATCGCGCACCAGTGGTGGACCCAGCAGTGCCCTGGACAATAGAAGGCAGTGGCCATTAGCAGGAAGACAACCCGGCTGTACGCATACAAACCCTTAAAGGTCGGCAAACTGCGATCGGGAAACAATCCCTGCACCCACCTGCACTATCGAAGAGCGTGGCAGCAGCAGTGCCGTCGGGAAAGCCCATGGAGGACAGGTCGTCAGTGCCCGGCTCGGGGGTGGAGGCGCCCTGGGCCCCCAGAGGCAGCTGGCCAGGGGCGGCACTGAAACGTCGGAGCTCTCGCTGCCCGTGCAGACTGCGCTCGGCACAGCCACACAGTGCACATATGCGGGCGGCCTCACTGTGCCGGCAGACATATGGGTATAACCATCATGTGACAGACAGACCCACCCACACACCAGCACCAGCTACAGAAAGATGCATCCATTCAAACCCCAGAGCAAACTGGTGAAATCATTAAGACCACCCTGCCCACCACAGAAAAACAGCCAGGCTGGACACTGGACACAAAATATCATATTTCACAGAAATCACAAAAGTCACTGTGAATTTACATTCCATGACAGATAATGTACTGTAAGGTTAATGAAGTACTTCAACATTCCCTTGTTGCCATTAAAGGAGCAAAAGGAGTAGGCAGTCATCATCCGAGAGTTTACCTAGGCACAGGAGATGTGTCCTCTGATGCCCCTCGAGTTTCCTCCCTGGGTGAGGGGGCGTGGTGCTCCTTCGCAGGGAGGACGCTGCCCTTTGGAGAGACGTTGTCGTCGGCTGAAGGACAAAAAAAACAGATCGGAGCAACAACAATCTTAAGAATCAGCACACAGAGAAACAAAACCTTCCATTTACTGCACGGATAAAGTATTTCTCACACTTTGGAACCACAGCTAAATATATCAAACGTTGAAGGAGTGAAAAAAAAAAAGCACAGACCATGTATGGGTGATAAGACTAGAGCCCAAATCACACTGTACAAGCCCCACATATACCGAACAAGCTACCCCTCAAAGTCTTAAATTCCCAGAGGTTTCAGAAATTGCTGGACATGCAACTTTCAAGATAATATGCTCCAGCAATACATCTAGAAGAGATTCTAAAGTCACACAACCTGACGGCCAGTGATTTGTAATTCCATAAAACACCATGTACCGATTTCCCAGAAATAAGGTAGCAACAGAAGGCATGTGTGGTTTATCTGTTGCAGATTACAATGTCCTTTAAGGAAAGGCCTGGTAATATTATGATTACAATTTCACAAGCTTATGAATGACAAACGATGATAAACCAGCCAGTAAAGAAGCTTTTCTGGCAAAGGGATTAAGAGCAAAACACTGTCACAGTTTGTGGAGGTCTGATGTGTCAAATCAAATGGCAAATCTAAATGAATACGAACTCCTGCACAGAATGAAAGTTCCAGTACTCAAACTCGAATAACTATAAACTTACCGTCTCACCTCTTACAGTCATTATAACCACTGACTGTGTAAACAATATACCACTTGATGATCATTAGCTATACCGAACGCATTCAGCAAATTTATAAAAAAATACATATAAAAACAGTGGCATACACTCTGTTTACTGCCATCTTATGGCAGCTTTGGAAATAAATCGTACAGAATGCTCAACAATGTTTTAAAGATCCCTTTTCAATAACATACAAGACAAGGCAAGGACCAAAAAACATCAAAGGCAGGAGAAAACACATTCAGCTGCACTCACCTAACAATTTCTGAAAAAATTAAGCAGCGATGAAAATTTGATTCAAACTTTGCTTTGAACTAGATTATACGTTACATTGTTTCCATAATATGGTCAAATCGCACAAGGATTACATCTACTGAAAACTCATAACTGTCTGCTTACCTGCCGCTTCAGAATCATTCTCTTCGCAGTTAGACTTCTGCTCGTCCATTCCTTCTCCCTACCTCGATCTCTTTGAAAGAGACCTGGAATAAAAAAACAACAAATGCGTGAATGAAGGCATGAGGTATTTGAGAATTCCGACTAAAAGTGATAAGATGACGCATTAACGCCAGTATCCGGTAACTGTCCATCCACATGTGCACTTAATGCACAAGTCACAGTAAAGGACGCAACTACATACCACCAAACTTCTCTCTTAACAGTGTCATAATATAAACTTTAAACAAGTCATATACTGGTTCCTAGGAGTTCCACAACCTTTAACTTTACCTGCATTACACCAATAAAATTAGTTTATAAACAACAAAAATGCCAATTGCTTTGAAACAACCTACATTGTATCAACAAAAAAATCTTCAAAAGCAACCCAAATATACTAAATACCCTCGATTCCCTTTATACTAAATCAACAAGCCCTCAACAAAAATTCATTTCCATCTATGTGATTAACATGCAAATAAAAACAAAGTTTAAAATATTTTTAATGACAAACAATTACATCAAACACAAACCGTGGTAAATAGTGTTCAGTCGTCCATTTTCGCTGTCAAACTTTGCCAAGCACTCACAGCAAGCCGACTAATTAGAATTCTCTGGTATATTCAAAGCCGGTGAAATCATCACTTAACCGCGTTAAAACACACATATGCGGTCGCTAGCTAATTCCTAAAACTCGGTGAGACCACACTAGGCTGCAAGATTCCGCAAACTACTGGCTCGTAGCAGACAAACAGTTCGTTACGCATTTCATACATTTCCCGATACAACTTTTTGCTCCTACTACGCGCCAACCATCGCTCATAACAACTTTCTAATGACTCGCACAGGTAAGATTTAAAATGTTGCTCTCTTTAAATAAAACTATACCCCCAAGCCAGATACACAAAAGACAATACAACTTCCGCGAAGCACACTTCCTGTACGCGCGAGACGTCGTGCTGAAACACCAGCGTCGCGTGGAATCGTTCCTAGGCCGTTTACATGGCACACAAACTAACGCGATTATTCAGTGGTTGATTTGCTGATTATCCTTCCTAAATCCTAAATATTTATTACAGACAAAAATATATTTACTTTAGTTGACGGACTCTCCAATTTATCTACGTAATTTCACTGACCCTAAACAGTAGGGCAAATGTTGATGGGTTAAGTTCATGTGTAATTTTTTGGGGGAAAATCGCACTTACTACGTGCATTTTATTTACTTCGACTGGAGCGTTGTGGTTCAACATCTGCTATAGAAAAAAACCGCCTGTAACGCTCGCGAAACTGCCTAAATTGTGCCACAAACCTTATCGTAGCATTCAGTGCAGGTCAAGGAAGCATACTTTTACGGCTTCGCAAATGAAGGTGACATCCCACAAACACACATGTAGACTGTAACTGCCTTCACTGCACTTGATTTACAACTGCATTTCCTCCCACTGCAGAAGACCGTTTTAGAGGGGAAGTGGCCGTTTTAAGCCCCTCAAAGAGCACGAATCGATTCATTTTCCTGCGACAACATAGCCCGAAATTGGTCGTCTAGTTCCCTCTATAATAACATTTAAAAGTACCGATTACGCACAATATTCTAACAAAATATTACTGACCTGTAGTTTCATAATTGAAATGTTGAAAGTTTTCTATAATCTGTACGGTTTAGCATAGATGGGATTATGTAAAAAGAATTATACTGGAAACATATCAGTGAAGGTTTACTCCAATAGGTTATATTTTTGGCAAATATTCTAGCCGATTACCTATTTGATTTTTCTTCAGGGGTTTATTCCTTATGTTTTTTTGTTTGTTTTTATTTACAACATGTTCGCCAGATAAACATGCACCAGGGAGACCCCTAATTCTGTTTTTCAAATGTCAAGTTCGTCCCCTCTTAAATTTACATAAGTAGGTAAAAAAATTATCAAATTTCTGCGCGAATACAAACTGACTTTTAATGTTAAACTTGAAATGTTTCTGCTGTCAAACGTTTTGCCAAAAATGAATGGTTGATTATTACTATAGGTCGTAAATTATATATTTCCGAAAGATCCCTTAAAGTCCTCTGCCCGAGACAAATATTGGATGGCGGATAATTAATTAACTATAGACCCAGTAGGTCGGATACCAATCAATGTCAATTGGACTGAATGTAATTTCCCTTTGAATAATGCACCGGCTGTGTTTTCATAAACGACACGAGTGAATTGACTAAACCAATGTATCTTCGGTAAGTAAATAAATGAATATATACACAAAGATTTCGCGTCTTAAAAACTCAACACTTAAGATGTTTTACAAACCCCACCATTTATATTGCAATAGCCAATAAACAGCAACTGATTACGCCGCCTGTTCCGAGGCTAATTGCGAGTAATGAACTTAACCAGCTAAACTACCGCCTGGTTTCGCTAAATGGGAATACCGTAAATGTGACCCGCCATCGGTCAAGTGCCATTCATCTACCGTCAAATCCGTAGTCTTTTTTTTTAAGTTATTGCCATTTTGCAGTTTAGGCTAAACAGGAAAAAAAGCGTTGAAATAACTCCACCCACGATATATGGTGTCTGAATATACGCAACGTTTGTTTTACCTAGCAAACTGCCAACAGCTGTCTGCGTTATCAGAATGTTTGCACATGGGTATATTGATAGGTAACGTAAGACAGCATGGTTAATGTAATTAAAAATGTAAACCTTTTTTTTTTTTTGTGTGTCGAAGCCCATGTCAGCCTTTGCTAACTGCACTGAGCTTAGGCCGTGGGTCGGGCTGCAGCCCCGCATGTTTCACGTTTGGCGAAGCTCGGTCTACATCTAAAACCACGAAACAGCGCCGTTTAGTTTCCGAATAATTACTTTAACCGACTCAAATGTAAGGGCCGGTAAGCAGCGAAGCCCCCCGCTGATGCCGCTCCGTTATTCGGCTGGGGCCGACCTGAGGCTGGGACACGGCGGCGTCGCAGGCGCCAAGTTACCCCGCCGGCTCTCGTACCCGCTCCGCACTTTTAGTCATGCAATTTTTTTTTGCATTTCGCCATATTGCTGCATATTAAGTTTACCGGAGAGGCCGCTATGGATGTAGTTTAATAGTCCCTGTGGTGTGATGGCAAAACTTACTTTCCGTCAGTATGTACCAGCAGATAAAGTGTAAATTTAAAATGGGAGTTCGGTGTTTTTTATAAGCTGGACAACAGGCTTGTAGGCCAAATGTTTGGGTGACAGAATAACAAGTCGCTCGCAATCGATTGAGAAACTGCGCCTCAGGTACGTCGCCGGTGTTAAAATGGGAGCGAAGCGACGCTTCGGCGATGACGGGGAAGCGCTCGCTGCTTTTTTTATCTTTCAGTTTGTAACATTTAAGTTTTGCAAAGTAGTCGGGCGATTCAATATCACCCGAAACAAGTTTCCATGACTAAACTAGTATGTTCGGAAACTGGAGATTTTCAAAGTTAAACTGCTACGGTTACTGCACGTAAAGAGGTAGAAAATATTATCCTTTATAACCGGCGTTACACAGCTTGTCGGAGTTCAGACTTCGTTTAACTAGAGATCAACGACTGGAGAAGAGACTGGTTTAATACGCCGAGACCCGATATCTGTTCATCCACCCAGTATAAACACGCACTTAAAATTGATGCGAAAGCACCGGGGCTAACCCGGGGACGGAAGACTCGGTAACACTTAAGCGATTAGTTTCTACAGCCAAACTCACCTTATTTATTTTTTTACAGTATCCGTATGTCTTCGTACATCAGAACAATCCACCGAAGGTAAATCGCCAACACGGCGGCTCGCATTTGTGCTGATGGCTTTAGCTCGATCACCGCACGAAGCAGAAAAGTGGCAGATGGATGTCCAGCGAATATGATGTCCTCCACGCCGGAGTCCAAACACAACTAATCCCCGCAATCTCTGATCTCGATGTCCTAGATCGGTCGAAGCTGTGTCCGGCAGCTTGCAATAACAGTGTTTTTTTTTTGTTGTGCTCACGTTATGCAGACGCTTGTCCCCCCCTAAAACACTTCTAAGGCCGAACAAAAAACCGCTTCCCTGAAACTGGGTTATTTTTTTTTGCGTTTGCCACAGATTGCATGGAAGGGCATTTAACGTTCTTGCCGTGCTGCCAAACTTCAGTTTAATGCCCCAGTCCCCCCCACTCGAAGAGACTGGCTTGTTCCGTCTACTTGCTTGGTGGCTCACGCGTTGCGAAAACTGTGATGCGAGCTAATGGGAATTTTTTTTCTTTTCCGCCGCTCTTGTTTTGTTTTGCATAGCATAGCATGCTAGCACCTAAATGGTTATCTATGTTTGCTAAGACAGTATTTTAATTTCAACGAGAGCAAAAGTGGGGATTTGAATAACAGAGAGGGGAGTCTGTAAGGGAGGCCATTTTGACCACTGAGAAATAAACTCCCATGGGCGCCACTTATGTTTTTTTTTTGGTTTTTTTTTTTTATTCGAACATATGCTTACAACACAACAAATACACCATTTTAAACAAAACTAAGAACGAAAGATGCAAACCGTGTCCCAGTTTGAGAAGTGGGATCATATAGACTTCCAGATTATCTTGTCATAATTCCGTTAGCTTTTTTTTGTCCTCGCCAGAGATAAAAGCAGTAGATGTTTAGAGCTGTGGAACTTGAGGAAGGACACATCTTGCAAAACGTTGTTAGATTGGATGTTAAGCGGCGGCACCAAGAAGAGGCCAGAAGAACCGAACGAAAGTGGCGTTTTAATTGGACATCATCGGCAACATGTTTGCATGTTACACTGAGATCAAGGCGGGATTTCATCACGTATAAACGCTTCACTTTGGGCTGTTAGCTGGGTCTGCATACCGTCTCTGCTCGTCATGTGGCCATTGCACCTCAACGAGTAACTGGGGTCACCACTACACATTCGTACTACGTTGAATGTATGCTACTTATGATCCTTTATCGACGAACATTTCGTGGTACCATTCACACGATCATCGATTCATCCACCACCTTCACCTTCCCCGATCATAATCGGAGTGTGCACACACTGATTTTCTGTTATTAAAACAGTACATTAAAATGTAACGTTCTGCTTAATTTTCTTTTACGTTGTATCATTCACTCCTTGGTTGTTTCTAATAAAATAGGCCTAATTTAATAAATGAAACAGCACAACGATTTAGACATCCATTTACATCATGCAGTGAGGTTTGCAACCATTTTTTTCCTGGCCACTGCACAGTGATACGTTTGTGCGTGTGTATGTCGGGGGAGGCATGCAGTAAAACGATGGTAAAACGATAAGCAGGTCTTGTCAATCCTATAGACAAAGTGAAATTGGCAGGCAAGTCGGCGCCCCATCAGAAGGGCACCACCTTCTTAGAGTGCGCCGACTTGCCAACCAATTTCACTTCGCCTCAAATGGGGGGCGCCGGCGGTGATGCTCGCCTAGGGCGAGCCATATTGGTTAGGTCGGGTATTGATGGCAAACATAGGCAGACAGGCTTTAAATGGAATAAACCCTGACACTGGAGATAAATAAAACCGTCGTAAAGTATAAATAAAAAAAAACATATAGAGTGTTCAGATAAATGTAATAAAAATTTAACTTAGTTATCACACCTATACAATTCACTGAATGGGTATATATTTTGAATACAACTAAGTATGCAACCCTTTCGGACTTGGAACTAACATGTAGGTCTCATTAAAATCGGGCACCATTGCATCATTAGGTTTGCTTTTATCTTGAATACACGAACATTTCAATAATGGGAGCCCACAAGCAAATGGTTGAAATCAAAATATATTAGCCGACATTAAGTTGGTTTATGTATAGTACACCCACGGGAGGTGGATGGAATAACGCAAACCCCACATGAAAACGGGTGTTGAAGCAACTTAATGACAATTATAAACGAGGCTACAAATGTGAATCATATTAAGCTGAATGCTAATGATAAGCATCAAAAATATATCTGAAAAGTCAAAATTTTGAGGCATCGATCATAAAAACTGCAAAATTATTTAATGCGTTAAGGGGAAATCTTGGCAGTGTATACCCTAAAGATGGACAAACTTCGCATAACAGGGATTGTGACATCCAGTTGGGATAACAGGATTCTTGCTAAACATCACAAAATAAGGCCCAAAAGTGCTACCGAGTTGATTCACCACCTCGATCTGTACGTTGAAAGCTTCTGGTTCTGCATTTGGAGAAAACCAAAGGACAGTGCTTGTTGGTATGGGCAATAATCTCCTGCGTAATCGAGGATATTTTCAATGCAGGTTTGCCAACTTTGGTCAGCTGGTTGGCGTGAGATTTTCAACACGTATTTACATGTTTAAAACAGTTTTATTACCTTGTAAATAGTCTGTAGGGTTTGCAAACTGCCCCAACGCGTTTGATGTAGCCAATTTTAAGTTAAAAATGGATTAATAGAGATTCACCGTAAGATTTCTTGCTATGAGCGTTTCAGTTTGAAAGCGTGAGTGTCACGCCAGATGCGTCAGAGTTGGCACCCCTGTCAACGTCTTTAAAAATTAGTTACCTTCGGATAATCGCTTGTCTTGCTTGGCCGTATAAACATAACTTCTCTCTTAAATGCATTTTTGTTTAAATGTTTTTTTTTCCCAAGTAGCATTATAGCTTGGCAACTTTATTGTTTTAGCCTGTGCATGTTCCGGTGTTATACGATTGGTAGCCTAGTTATAGGCTATTGGCGTTTGCTCAACAGGAGAATGACATCCATGAAGTAACGTTTACCTGCGAAGAACCTTTCTTTATTGAAAGCTTTGATAACCATTGCCACTCAAGATTAAGTGTCTCCACATCGATTCGAACTAAATGATGATTTAATTATGTCTGTATTAATCCTGATAGTAATAACGCATGTCGCCGCGAGACACTTTTGATTTGCTGTTCTCGTAGAAATCGATGACGTGCAGTATTCACAAAAACCGAAAAAAGAAAAAAGGAGGGGCAGCTGGAGCCTTTTTGCAAAGTATGAGAATAGATTAGAAGATAGAATTACAACGTATAAAGTCGAAGTCATGTGAGGCGTTCTGGATTGAAAACATTGAATATAACATACTGTAACTGATACGCATATGTGACATCTAGATTGAGCCGCTTTAAGCAACACACAAAAGGACAAAACCTAGAATAACTGTCGAAGGCATTAAGCGGTCTAAATATATACACCTTTTCCGTCTTATAGATCTTACTTCGTCGATTAAGGGCAACTAGCTGTAGGTCCAAAACTATCACGACACCAAAACGCTCACTCCTGTTTTAGCGGCGACCAATTAAATCACACCATTATATCCGAGAAACCAATTACATCGTAAATTCTGGGAGGTTGCTGGTTCGCGTTTTAGGACGTAATACCGCCTGTATGTATTTGATGTATCACTCCGCGCAGGACAACTCATTCAAATCGACTTTGACACACAGTTTATCTCATTGGAGAGTTTCGTTTCAGCGATGATACAGAACTTTCGTTCATCTCTAAGAAGTCAAACATCACATTTTAATAGAAACTGGTATTTTAAATTTATACTAAACGAAAAAAACGTTAATTGTTAGTTGAATGAGAATTCCCCCAGGTATAAAACACTTAAATGAAATATAATTAAGGTGCCAAATTGTTATTGCTTGACTGTGCGTGTGTATGTGTTTGTGTGTGTGTGATTACACAATGACATTAGTAGTATTACTAAAGTGTTTCTATCAGTTTCAACGTTTCCAATCGATTATCTATGATCTATATAAACATTACAGTGGCGTTCGGTTAAAACTACGTCTGTGTTGCCTTAACGGTTGACAAGTGTGTTTAAAAATGCGTGTCTTACCGTAAACCACGTTAAGTGAAAGAAACTCATTGAAAATAGAAGTACTACAGTGTTACCTCAGAACTCGAATTTAATCCGTTCAGAACTCTGGGTCGAATCCTAAAAAGTTCGAGTTGTGATCGAATTTCCCCCATAAGAAATAATGGAAAACCAATTAATTGGTTCCCAGCCACAAAAAAATATACCTAAATATGTTTTTTTTAGCATTTAAACACAAAATGAACCGGATAAAACAAGAAGAGCATATATTTAACCTAAGGGGGAGGTAACTGAAGGCCCAATTAATATGGCATTTTCATCTTTGCTGTTTAATTCATTTATTAGCCTTGATAACCTACTGGCTGAATGAACATGCATGTTTTGTTAAAGCACTGTTACTCTGTGTTAGGTTAGCAGTTTTGGAAGATGGGTGGACTGATGGAGGTTTGGTAATCACTTGATGATGTTCAATGAAGTCTTACAGGAGTCATGCTCAGTCTTTGTTAGGAAATGTCCAGAGTGTGAAAAGGAAAAATAATAATGTCATAATGAATGCCCATCCAGACAACAACTCAAACGTGGTTAATTAACAGCAGGACAGGAACAGAAGACACATAACCATGCACTATGCCCTGCAAGGCCCCGAAATTGTCCACACCTGGTTTAATTAATAACCGTCACAAAGTAGGATGGGTATTCAACAAAACTGCACGTCTGCAGCTGCACCTGCATCGTATTGCAAACTGAATAGAAATGTACTACGTAAAAATGCACATAATAAAGAGAAGAGCCTCTGTTATCGTTTCAAGATGACGCAGCTCGCGATATCAGAGTTAACAGAAGCCATAGAAACACAGGGAACGTCCTACAGCCTAACCTGTGTACCTTGTGATTTCTGAGTATTTAGGGGAAAAGCACTTTTCCGATGGGCTGGCGCCCCATCTCGGCAATTCCCCACCTCACTTCGCAGCCTACGGACGGTATAGAATATGAATGGGGAAAACTGAAACTAAGAGATACGCAAGTCAATGCTGCCACAGCACGGAGCGTCAGAAAACGCCCCACTGCGCATGTTTCAGAAGGAAACATCTTAAAACCGCAGAATCCTCTGATACAGAATAGTGTTACTATTTTAATCAGTACGCCGCTTGCATATAGTCAGTATTTCTTAGTCAGTAGATATTCAAATGCGATTGAACAATGTTCATATAGGCGAACTTTTTTTAACGTTTTGCATCTACTTTTGCAGAATTATTTTGGAGTACCACCAAAGGAGCAGTATGCAGACTTTGATATACTTCTGTATTTGTATTTTGTAGATGGAGATCTGGCAGTCTGACATCCGGTCCATGGTCCTTATTTTATTTTTAATGTTAATCTTCGCAGCAAGTATTTTCTACTTTTGTCCTTTAATGCTTTTGGAGAACAAGGCTGCAGCTGTTTTTTATTTTTTATTTTTTATGCTGTCTCATCTATAAAATCTGGCTTATTGGTTAGAGTATTTTACTACATTTAATCTTAAATGTCATATAATAAAATCTCTTGTGTTTTGTATCACAAAAGCAATTCAACTGTGCCGCAAATGAAACATCGTAAACTTTAGTCAAAGGCTTTTTTTACTCTCTATATTTGTTCTAGTCACATAACCTGTCCCAGTCGATGTTATTGCTATTGTGTTTGGCAAGCAAAAACCCTAGATGTCACAAAACAGTCATAAACGTTATAACCTATCTGATTCAATTCTCATCGAATTAAAAAAAATGGATCAACCCCAGATTATACCACTCACGTTGACATAACGATACATGTATATGTCAGTAATTTATGATGGTGTAGTAACATGGACGGTAAATGTATAGGCGGCCGCCTAGGGCGCCAATTTCTGAGTAGGTGCAGACTTGCCATTTCACTGGCCTAAGGCGCCACATCGGCTAGTAGGATTGCTGTGTGCCAAACCAAAATGTACGCGATTGTGACTTGACGCTAGAGGGCGGTAGATACTTACTGGCATGTCGTTTATAGCTCTAGATTTAAACGAAACCCAGTTTACTCTTAGCAAGTTAAAGATTTTCAAATTATTTCAGTATTTTGATGGGCAGGAGCGCCCCGTTTTACCATGTAGGTAATAACTCGATTAGTATTTGGATATTTGTGATCCAAACAATTTGTAGTAGTAGACTTCTGGTATCAGCCTAGACTTACGTGTGCAGTCCAACGTATTGGTTTGTTAGAGGATGGTGTAATGTTCGCAAACATAACACAACACTCACACACACACGGGTTTGTATTTACATCTTTGTACTCCATTCATTTCCAAGGGGAAAACTCTAATCCCAACAATGACAACCTTAACCCCTACCCAGCCCTAACCTTATCCATAAGTAACCAAACAAAATACTTTTGGAATTTTTAGTTTTTTGATTGCATTCAGAGACCTTTGTAGGGACCTGAAAAATGGTCCCTACAACATCAAAATAACAGGTTTTTATTACATTGTAAAATAAATAGAAACATAATCCACAGACACACACACACACACACACACACACACATACCAAGGTATGTACACCCCACAACATGAAGCTTATAAAACATGTAAATTTAAAATCTTCAGTTTCTTAAATGTGCACAGAAACATTGTTTTTTTTTGTTTTTTGTAGGTGGGTACGTTTAACAACCCCATTCACTGTCGTTCTTGAGTTGAAAGTATACAAGGTTAGGCTGCATGAGGGAGGAATAGTGATGGTGAGCAAGAGAGCAAGTCCGAGATAACGCGGGAATGACTGGGTAGCATGGGAAACACTGGGGGCATGCCTTGGTTTCTCATTAACTACTGACTTTTCTGCTTTGTTCTCCAAGAGTTTAACCCTCCTTGTTCCAATGATGGTGCATGTTTTCAGATAACCCAAATCATACATTGTGTACTCGGCAGGTGTGTGTCACGGCCAAGGCATGAATATTGAAAATTGTATTGAAAAGTGCTAAAGCACAACAACTAACAGTGTAAGTACTGAAAGGTTACACCAAATGGCGTAACTGTGACTCCATCAAAAAGATGAAAAAGCTGACATTCATACGAGTACAGCCTGGGACAAAATGTTAGAACTGTCCTTGAACAGGCCTTGACTGTATAGTAATATTTGATAGGGGCATTCTGATATAATTCAAAGCAACAGAGAAATCAACATTATTGCTACAGTGAAGTTCTTGTATTTAACAACTGGAATATGAATAATGTAACAAGTGATGTGATTGACCTTCAAGACACATAACTCAAGTCAACTCTTTCTTAGCTTGTGATATTCACTTAAATGTTGTATATACAGTGTGTGTTGTACAAACATTAAGCTGAAATCACACACAGCACTGAATATGAGAGTATACACAATCAACTGCTTGTAATTTGTAGAGGGGGAAAAAACAGGTCTTTTTACAAATTAATTAAACTATTATTTGTTTTAATGACATTTTAAAAACACTGATATTACAAATATGTGAGACCATCGTTAAGCTGAATAATTAAAATAGATATATTTATATATTATGATTCCAAGGTAAAAAAATAAAGTTTTTGTTGGTTCTAGCCCATTTTCTTTTTATAATAAAAATGCTGATTTTACAAATTATATCTTTTCCTTTTAGTTCTTAATTTCAGATAAACACAAGTATGAAATGATGATTATGCTACTGAAACAATTTGCTGGTATTTAATGTAGAAAGTGGAAGCTTCTGGAAATGCACAAATGATTTGACAACGGGCATATGGACCATAAATCCAAGAACACATGAAAAGTACATTATCATTGTCTCCAGTGTCATGTACTGTGATTGGCTACACAGACTTAACCATCATCGTCCCTTCCAGGGCCTACTGTTGTAAGTTTAGCACTGGAATTTGCAAATGTAAATATGGTACAGAATTATAAAAATAAGCAGAAGCATAGTGAGAAGATAAATATGCATAATTGTATGTAGGTTCTGTTTGTATACTGGCTTCGATAGAGAAGGACCATGGGCAATCAATAGAAGGTGATCCTTGGAAGCACTGGTTGTAGACTATATGTGAGCAAGCCAATGAAAAACAAACAGCAGTGGATATCATGGGTCCCTACGGGTGGAACTTCTCTGGATTCAGAATAATACGGGCCAAAAAGTGAAGTACTCTTGCATACCAGTGGACTTTCCATCCCTTGTGTGAGACACTGTTATCGCAGGTAGCCTCGTGAATACCCTCGGTAAAAGGTACGACCTGATTGCTCAGGCTGTCTGGACTGTTCCATGTCCAGTGTTCAGGGGGGCTGCTGAAGCCCTGGTTGCCCACAATTTTGCTGAGACTCTGATGAGCGTGACAATGGGTGAGGTTCTCAGAGGAATCTTGGCGAGCTGTTATCGTGTTCCCTCCTACGATGCTCCTCAGCTTCACGAGCTCGGTGAGAGACAGCAAGAGCCGCAGTGGCCTGAAGGCCCAGTGGGCCAGCTGGTGGTCATCAATGGCCGCGTAGCTGGAGGCCAGGACCCCTCCCACAAAAAGGGTGCCATGTTCTGTCAAAGGTGCATAAACCCCCCTTCCTTCCTCCACAGATATTGAGATGATCCGGGACGGTTTTACTCCTCCACCCTCCCCCTGGATAAGGACGTAATGCCCTTCCTTTGCCCTGCTCGCAAACTGGGCCAGGTACTCTCTTGGGTGGAGGGTGCCATTTGGGGCAATAAAGATGAGGTGGGAAGAGGTTAATGTGAGCCTCTGACCATGCTCTGTGTTCAGAACTAAGAACTGGACTCTGCTCTCAGAGTCATAGTGTAGGAAGAGCAGAACTTGGCTAAACACCACCTGGCCCAATCCAGATAGGGCCAGCACTTTGTCTCCTGGCTGAAGGGTAGACAGAGCTTTTCTTCCCCCACCCATCACATCCACCTGCATCCAGCCTGGGAAACAGCCCCCTTTCTCCACTGTCACCGAGTGATCTGGGGGGGTAAGGAGAGAGGACATACGGAAAACAGGGAAAACAAAGACTGATCACTTTGATTTAACTCTCCTTCATTCTGTATTTCCACAAACTTTTTTGTGTGCATGGATGACATTTCAATATGTAAAAAGATCACAGGAAGATGGTTTATAACACGTAGGTAGGTAACCCTGATCCTGGAGTGCTGGTATCCAGCAGGTTTTCTATCCTCCCTGATGAGTTACTATATGCCTGATTTCAGGTGCGGTTCATCAGAGACCAGCTTGGATGGATACGTCACTTCAGGATCACAGCTGTCTAACCCGGTCAATAACTACAATTATTGCAAGAAAATATTTTGCATGCAACTGTTTTCCAAGTTCTTCCTCTGTTCTTCTCTTGTTTCTCCACATAGTTACTTTTCTATATCCTTATGGCCTCTGATCTCTACTACTCCAACATCTTGGGCAGGCTGTGATTTGTCAGCACACATACGGCATTAAACGCGATAGATTTTTTTATCGCTAGGATTCTTTTGTCAGTACAGAGTGGAGAAGGGTCACATTGTTTTTCCACTTGACTTGAGGAATGTGTCAGGTGACCGTCATCGGCAGCCTCAGGCTCTCACCTGCCTTTACAGAGCAGTGCACGTGAAACTTCGACTCGTAGTGCACCCAGTCGAAGCCGGCCTCCACAGCCAGCTGGGCCAGCAGTCCGTACTTGCTGGGGTCACGGTCGGAGGTTGTAATGTCCACGGCTCGACCCTCGTAGTGTAAGGAGTTGGGCGGGTGGTGGCCGTCTTCGTCCCAGGCTTCTGTGACACGCAAACGAACCCCCGGCCACTGGTTCATCACTGCGATGGCCAGCACATTCAGGCAATCTTTGCAGCGCTGTCGGACACAGGAATCACATGTCATTTAATTGAATGCCACTTCAAAAGACAGGATGTGAACAACAATACTAAAAAGTATTTCATTCACACTCTATACACTACTTGGAGCAGGGTAATTAAAGGAAGTAGAACTTATTTGTTCCCAGAAGTTACAATTTTCCTATGAATAGCTATTGTCAATCCTACTTACGGTAGACACCTGTATTCCCAAACGTCTACACCAGTGCTTATGTGCTAAATTGAAAGGACAGTATTGTATAACATATGATGTTATTCAGCAATGCATGCTGTGATTTGTTCACCATTCCCCTGTGAGATCATTTATATGATATTTGTTTTATGTCCATATCTCTGGATGACTGGAATGAAACGCATTCCAAACACAATTCCACCTTTGTCACTCGCTCTCGAATCTACTTCTGCTGGCCTGGGCCTCACATGTGTGACATCAGCAGACATTTTTCCCTGTAATTCTGGTACTGGAAAAGTCCACCTCCACCCCTCCTTCCTCAAACAATCAGAACTTAAGAACAAAGCCACCACAGCCACCTTTCATGCACTCCTTTGTCGTCCTTGCAGTACGAAAAAACATTCAAAGCTGTTCTTCATTTTTTTTTTCTGTTTTCTTCGATTGAGGCTTGTATATTTTCTTGTAGGTGTGTCTATGGGAGAGCTTTGGCTAGAAATTGCTTTATTTTCCATTGTCGCCGGGTACAGTGCCTGATTGCCGCAACTTAAAAGGCGCCATCTCTCAAATTTCAGACGCGACTGTGCCTTTATGTTGAAAGCTTACCACCCTCTGGCAGAGGGCATTTTTGGGCCTGTGAGAATATTATACAGCCTCCTCTACTGTATCCTTAGTTAATGATCCTCACAAATGAAAGCTTTTGGTTGAAACAAAAACTAAGGTGTGTCTCTCTCCACTAGCCTCCGTGCACGGTTAACGATACGCCTCCAAATGGACAGAATGCATTTTCCTGTGGACTGTGGACCCGGAGGGTACATAAGAGGTATTTGCCACAATTAAACACAAGCAGCAGAATAGGGAGGGAGCTTGAGAGAGAGCAGGGGCCGGGACAGTGGCAAGGTTCAGGCTAAGCGAGAGGGCTGAGGGCGGAATGTCCGGGCAAGCAGAGGCGAATGTGACAGCAAGAGTGAGAAAGGAGGACGGAGAGACCGAAAACAAACTGAAGGGACATTTTTCTCGCACTGTACAGCAGAAAGGCGTTTCATTGTCACAACTACAATAGAGGCTTTTCCGACGGTGCCATTACTTCAGCAGGCGGGAATTTCGGACAGGCGACCCCGCAGAGCCTCTAAAAGATGCACAAAGGACCCCTTTGAAAGCCGGGCAGTGGAGAGGGCACCAGCACACACACACACACCCAAGGGCGCACTGGGCAGCAGCAGGACAGCTGCTTATACACGGATACTTACATATGCAAGCAGCCAGTGTAGGAACAAACAACAGACGGCACTCTCAGCAGACGACAAACTGTGTACACAACATTACATAACATACTTACACTGCATTTCTGGTTGTCATTTCCCTGTGGTCTGGGTTGGCTTATAAATGTCCATTCATGTGAAAATTCAGCTAAAGGAAGACCTTCTCTTAATGAGGACCTACGTGTTTTGCCTAAAACCCAACGAGCATTTCATGCAACACTTTCTCCGTTTTGTAATGCCTATTTCAACCTCCACCATGAATCGAACGCAGGGGTCGTACACGACTTTTAACCCCTCTGTCTTAAAAAACATATCTGTTAAGTAAATACCTTGTATAAGCTGACAGTTATGACCACTCAGGCTGCCTCCTACATTTAGAATTGGCTGGAAGTTAGCTTGGAACGGTCCACTCCAGCAAAGCCTTCATATGAAGCTACAGCCTCAATGCGGGTCCCTTTAAACCATGAGCGAGATACAACCATAGGTTAAAAGCAATCATTTTGCTCTGGAACCACAGCTTAACGTGCTAAAAAAATCACACCATTCATCCTAGCCGGGGTAGAGATTTCACAAGCTTGTGAGTCTGTGTGCAATTCAGCGTCACAGTCCACTGATGTGGCTGAGAAATACGAGTGTGCTGGACCTGAGGTGGAAAACACTGGCAGAGAGACCTCATGGTGCACCAACAGTGGTACGAGCAGACAGTCTGCCTCTCCTCCCAACTTCCCTGCTGTCACCCTGCAGATCGGCCAAGTGAAGCCCCAGTTATAGGACCTACTTTAATGGCATCCCAACTCACATCCTGAGAGATTTTCTCGTTAATGATTAAAACAGTCATTGCTAGTTATGGAGGGTATTTGGCCCTGGAGAATGAGCATGAAATAACGACTGGCTGTCAGACCGCGAGGTGTTCAAAGTGCAGGAGGTGCCAGCATCTACGAAGGTTTAAAGGTACGTAATAAAGTGTTTACCTACCAATGGGCAAATAATAATGATAAAATGTGACTGAAAATAAGGTGGTGAATCGTGGTGTCTGTGAAGCCTTGGAACAGCCAGCGTGATTGTGCCCTAACCCGTCACCCAGCGCTGACCCAATGTCATCTCCTCCGGGGGTATATGAGAGAAAGAGGCCTGATGCTAAGAAAGGACATAATTGGAGGGTGGGTGACTGCACAGGGGGACATTTGAGAGCGATATGAAAGGCCTGCCGCCTACTTCCCTGGTGAATTAATAACTAAACAGAAGAAAAACATATGAGGTGGTTGTATCTATGTAATGATGTCACATTACTATGAAATACCTCCAGAGAGCCAAAACGGGGCTTTAAATAATCAGAGCAAATTAACTTGATGTATTTAATATCTAATAAACTAATTAAATATGACAGACAAAAATCTTTTCGCATAATTTCCTTTTGGGTCAATGAACAACCTGATGATTCAGGCTTCAGTGTTAATGTTTAAGAACGAATAGCTGTTTTTCCAATGATGCAAAAATCGAACTATGAGAAGTGGGCAGTTTACAAATTACTGGACATTATGTTTCATCATGTTTTCATAATGTTAAAATGAATGATAAAAGGAAAATTTAATCATTCATTATAAATGCCAGGCACCTGTTACTTTTCTTGGTTAGAAGAACAGACATTAAGTGGTTCTATGAGACTGTATAAAATGTCCACCATAAACCATCAGAAGAGTCGTAAATCTCTCCTTACCTTGGTCATGAATCGATCTGCCTTCGTGTTTTCTTCATCTTTGAATATGATGTCGGGGTTATAGTTGCACACCAGTTCATTGAAGCGCTCAGAACTGCGTGTGATCTTCCCTTCTGCCCTTCCACTGGCTCCCAGGTTAGTCTCAGAGAAATTTGGGACAAATTGCTTATAAGGCATGGGGGTCAGCTTGCGCGGCCTGGGACGAACACCGCCGCCGGGGCCCGGCCCGCATCCCTGGGCGAACAGCCACGTCCAGGTGCATAGTGACAGCAGGCTGAGCCGCGCCAAGCTGCGCCACTTAGACAGCGACATTGGCGCAGGTAGTTGCCTGCGGATCAGCGACCCTCCCAGCCTGCGCTCCGGAACCTAACGCGGGCACCTGCTGCCATCGGAATTCAGCACAGCGACAGTGCGAGTCACCTCTTCTCTATGATAACCACTAATATTTTTGGATCAGTGCAAAATACGATATAATATGCAATATGTTATTACGCTACTCACTCTCTAAAGAACTTTATGTTTTGTTAATATATTTATATTTGCTCTGCCTGTTGGTCCGCCAGGAGGTAGATCAATTTAACTAGTTTTCGGAACCAAATATACCGGTTTGCATACTTCGTAATTACTTTACATGTCTAATGTACACCAACCGCAGTTATAATACAATTTGCTTCGAAAAGTCACCCCCTTTTACATGTCTATAACAGTGAATAAATAAATGTCATGCAGGCAGACATTAAAAAGTAGCTTCGCATATTAATGATGATTCGTCTAAAAGTCACTTCTGGCTGAATTTCTTAAGTAGTAACATCACTGACACGGTTCATCTTCCTGCGGCACCGGAGGGATAACAGGTGCTTCGCTACCAGCCAGCTGCCAGCCTCATTACTCGGTACTTGCGCGGCGCAAACCTGTCGGCTATTTTACACTATTACTGCCCCCGTATAACGCCCCTTCGTCCTAAAACCATCATCATCCCATCACTCCGTCCCTCGGATCCACAGCGTCCTTCGTGGTGTCGCGGTTTCTGCCGGCTCTTGCCTCTCCGAAGGACTCCGTGCGCTGCTGAAGGCGCTTCTCCAGCCATTGGGTCTTAATAGCGTCAGGACGCGATCGCCCTCCCTTCCTGTGCTTCCCAAGCCGACCGTCTCGCACACGCCTCCTTCATAGACTCCAATCCGGCGGCTTTTTTTCTTTTCTTTTTTTTTCTATTTAATTAGGTATTGTATATTCTAGATATATATCGACATTCAGCAACGTGCTTTTTTTCTCGTTTACCTCCTCAAACACAACCAAGATATTTTTGCATTGTATGTCATAGGTGAAGAATAACTGGTGAAACTATCAAACTTATATTTATTATTATTATTGTTATTAATAATAAGAATATAATTTTCTATAATCTTGCCTTACCATGCCTACCACCCAGGATAGAATCTGTTGCATTATTGTGTTTTTGCTTTTGTAGTGTATTAATAGCACGGATTAAAGGTGAGGACCTGTGACTCTGAGCCATGGATCCTCGCGACAGCTTCCTGCTTCGGACCAGGCAGCCCTGACACAGACACTGACATTCGAACGGACCTCATTTTCCTCCTCTCTGAATCAGAGAGACTGTCGGTGACACACAGCCCCTGACCTCCCCGGGCCGTGGAAACACCCTTGCGAACTGCAGCCATGTAATATTTTTAAACATGGCAGAACAATAGACTGCAATTAAGAGTTGGAGAAAGCAGAGAAATGATGGCACGAGGAAGAGATAGAGTAAAGGAAAAGCACAGATGAAAAACTATGTGTCTTTTCAATGGAATCTGACAGGGCAGATAATTTTATGTAAAAACACATTAGCTCGGGGGAGGGGAAAACGACAAGATGTATCACGAAGGTCACTGACTGTGCACTTTGCTGGAAATTACCATATGTCAGACAGAAACACACGCTGACACACAAAATGGCAGTGGGGCTGCCTGAAAACACATTTAATCAGATGATCTAAATTACATCTATAAGGCATCTATATTTAGCCATAAGGTCCAGCTATTGGCTACTATAGGAACCGTCTGTTACTATGTGTTTAATAGGATTTGGATGTACCAAAAGCACTTATAGGAACATTCATGACCTCACTACAAACCCAAATCATGACATGCAAGGAGCCAACAGCATATGCTGGAGGAAAAGGAGGAATCTACAATATACATATGAACCAATGTACCTCTCGTGATATACTTCTATAGATTATGATATATTATTATATTATTCTTATATTTGACTGAGTGTTCAGGCTGGGGTGGTTCTAGGATGTGACCCTTAGATGGGGTTCAGCCCCCAAGACATACAGGACAAAATTGTTAAATGGATTTATAATAATCATTTTTCAGGAGGCTGAAGCTCCCATAATGAAGGTCTAGAATTGCCTGTGTATTTAGGAATGATGCATTTCCTCCATTGCATGATGAACCACCAACAACCTTCTAGTAAAGGTAAAGAAAATAGAGCGTTATTAGGTTCATTCAAGTCACACTGGAATAGAAGTCTCAGGAGCAAGATGGAACGTCACATCACTTTTCCCGCACAAACTCGGAACCAAGTTTCGAAAAAAAAATTCCCAAAATGTTTCGAGGAGGAATGACATTCCTGCCTCAATCCAGACACAGAGGAAGGTCAAGGGTGGGTTCAAGTACACAAAATGGAAGATATCCTAAATAATCACAAAATCAAAGGCAGAAACTCAATCAGAAAGAGAAACATTTCATTAGGGCAATCAGAAGCAATGATGGGCTTTTCCTAAGAAGGGGGATCCTGAAAGTGGCCACATTAGACATTCAAATGAGCGGAAGGAAACAAAATAGTGTGTGTTTGAAATTGATTCCATGCAGTTATTATTACTTTTTATATATATGACTCCCCCCCCCCCCCCCCCCCCCAAACCCCTTCCTCACCCTGCCTCAAACTCCCCCCCTCCCCCGGCACTCCTAACGGCCGTCACTCCCCCACTTCAGGATGGGAGTATGGCGTTCTGAATAGCGTGGCTTCCTGCACAGCCATAGCACAGAAAGCGAGATCTTTCCTGCCCCCCCGCAGACACACACCCACCTATACTCCGCCTGCCCAATCTTTCGCCGAGACCAAAAAGCCTGGGGGCCTCGCACCTGGGCTCAGAATTACTCACTCAGATATTATAAGCCTGTCTTTGAGAATCCAGCCATCGCGATCCGTCCTGTATATCTGTACCTTTTACCGGTGTTGCCACACGGTGATGCTCGGCATGGAGTGTGAAGGCAGCAGCAGTGCATTCTGGGACATGATGGCGTGACACTGAATGGCCTCAGGCACAAGGCCGATGCATTCGGCTCGATGTTTGCTGACCTGCAGTAGCTGAGCAGGCAAGTCCGGCTTCCTGACAGCATGGGCAAAAAGGAGGCAGGGTGGGGGGAGGGGGGAGGGGAATAAAAGAGAGAGCCAAGAACCCCCCCCCCCCCGCCATTCTACTGTCCCTCATATCGTTATCAATGCAGGAAGAAAGAGGGTGGCGGCCGTGTGTGAGCGGCTGAGTGTTCCTCTCCGCTGGGAGACCTTCGGCAGCGAGTACGTAATCCCCACTCTTACTTTCACCTTCCAAAACCCTCAAGAAATACTTTCGTCGGAGTCGCTGACGGGAGCCCGAAAGGTCACAGATCTCTTACAGCAGCCGCCAGGTCTCGTGCTGCTTGAGAAGATAGGGCTATATCCCGCCTGTGTTCAGGGGGCTCTCTGTCGTGTGGCAGTGTCATATTTGTCTATGATGTATCTGTGTGCAGGCTCGCGAGAGGCCGGACAATAGCTAACCAGGGTGGGATTTTCCTGTCCTGAAGTGGAGGGGTCAGAGGTCGAATGTAGAAACAGGGCAAAGGCACTGTACCTTCTGCGTAAAGTGTAGACTCCCCTGAAATAAACCAGGTTTAGCAAGTTCCCTTCATCACAGATGAGCCTATTTCACACACACACACACACACACACACACACACACTGTGAGGACTCTCCATTCATTTCTACATGGAAAATTCCAATCCCAACATGACAACCTTAACCCCTACTCAGCCCTAACCTTAACCATAAGTAACCAAACAAAATACAAGACTATTGTCATTTTTAGTTTTTTGATTGTATTTACAGATCATTGTGGGGACCTGAAAAATGGTCCCCACATCGAAATAACAGGTTATCACATTGTGGGGGACATTTGGTCCCCACAATGTAATATAAACATAATCCACACACACACACACACTAAAATACATGCACATCCATGTATTGGCACATCTGAGTCATGCACCAGCATGGGGTTTCTTCCTTAGGATTTTGTACCCAGGCATTGCTCTACTCTGGAGCAAGGCTGCCGCCCGGCCCACGTGCGCAAATCACGCGCGAGTGAGCCACGGGCGTGCGAGAAGGGCGGGGGGCGTGCGAGAAGGGCGGGGGCCGCGCCAGGCCGGGCGGACAGCGTGACCCCTTATCAGTTGATTAAAAAGAAAGTCTCGCCTTTTCCTGCGAACGCCGCTGCATTTGCGGGCAGTTAACGGCGGGAATAATAACTCCTAATGCACTTTGGCACACGCTTCAAACGGCCGCCTGTCAGGAAAGCTAATCTGCGTCTTTTTCCCCCCTTCATTCTTGTGTTTTGACAATAAAGATAGGCTATCTCATCCCGTTACGGGCTGCCTGTCTGCCATTCTGTCTCGTATCTGTAGAAATAGCTCTATGACTCGCTATATGGGCCCTGCTAGGACTCCCCACTCCACATGCCCTACAGGCCTCAATACCCGTCCGGTACATGCACATATAAGGCTGACGAAAGGAACCCGTGCGGCAAGAGTATAGGAGAGTAACGAAATGACATCACTGCATAAACGATCTGAGTATATATCAGCCCTTTTGTCTGTAATTTAGCCAGTCAGTGGAGCATTAAAACATTTCAGCTAAAGCAATGATACCGCCTGTTTAGTCAGTACTCATGTAGCAGAAAAACAGGCCATGAACATCACATACTGTATGTGTCTCAGTACTGCGTTACTGGGAAATCAGTTCCTCATGTTCAGTGTCTAGATCTATACGAAGTAACACTGATAACATCACAATTAGCGTTATTTGGTTCTTTTTTCCCCCCAAAGGCAGTGGTTTTACTCCTGGGGGGGAGGGGACATCTCTGGATCTATATGTATACCATATCTACAGGTAAAATGGCATGAAAAAAATGTTTTTGTTCTACAGTAATTTCTGAAGAAACGTGCCCCTAAATATACCTTTTTGTAAACTTTTATTTGCCCATTTACAGATTTCTACTTGAACTTTGGATATTACTAGGGAGTTTAACACATGTGTTGCATTTTTTCAATAATAATCACTTTATTAATCCCCATGGGGAAATTATCTTCATGCCTCCCTCAACTTGCTCTTTGTATAGTAAGTTGTCCACAAAGGGCAGCCATCTGCAACAGCACCCAGGGAGCTGGGGGCTAAGGACCTTGCGCAAGGACACACAGACATGCTGAGGCTGGGTTTGAACCAGCAACCTTCTGATTACAAGCCCCCAGGCTTAGCCCACTGAGCCACACACTCACACATTGCTATTTCGTTGTGGCTGAAGGCACCAAATGCATGACAATGTATCTGTAATTTGTAAAATCTGACTCTGGCTTACATCTCCCAAACAAAATGAGTAACCAATTACTAAATGCCATTCAGCTGTTTCACAAGATAATTCATTAGGAATGATGTAGAATCATTTTCATTTACCGTTAAAAGAAGCCTCTTAGTTTTAACCTTAGCATAATATTTTGGTTCTGGTATTTAATTCCCATCTTTACGCATTAATCCTAAGGTCTACCAGTGCAGTCTCTTAAACAATTAGCCCAGAATAATTCACTAGAGGAATGTGATTCAGGTTGAGAACTCATGTTCTTTATGGAAATCTTGCTAGTCCCGCAACCCTGCATAGGAAAAGCGGGTATAGAAAATGGATGGATAGAGGTATGGATGGACATCTAGCTAGAACACTTTGTTAATGGATAGCACGGTTGCCTCACACCTTCAGTGTTCAGGGTTTGACTTTCGCGTTGGCTGAGGTTTTGTCTAACGGCCCAAAGATATGCAGTTATGCTAATTAGCATCGTTAAGCTGACGGTAGCGTATGACTGTGTGTGTGTGTGTGCTGCCATGCGATGGCCTGACGTTCTATCTAGAATGTATCACAACCTTGTTCCCTGTGCTAGGCTCCAGGCCCCTCCTTGACCCTGTGCAGGACAAGCTGTTAGGGGGATGGTTAGATGGAATCCAGATTACAAGTGACATGCTATGTTTAGGTTCAGATCAATGTATCTTTATATATCCTGTTAACTTTCTAAAATGGACTTCAGTTTTAAAAAGAATTTTGGAAGAGATTCGTATCCAGCATTTATCTGTGTAGAAGTACATTTGAATGACTAAATGCTGTACATTAGCCTCTGTACATGAATCTCTCTGTATGGATAACTAGGCTTTCAAAGAGATTTGACAGTAACTCAGATCCTTGCTCCAGGCCAGCTCTCAAAGAGACTGTAGTTCTGATGCATGACTCTCTGGTTGTATGCTTTTGACGTAATTCCTTACAAAATGGGGGTCAGAATAAACGTTTCCCCCTCCCGAATTTCAATTTAGTCCCAACAGATAATATCCAGGACAGCTCAGAATTATCAGATGGCAGAAGCAAATCAGAGACAATGTTTATTAACGCTTATCAATTCTGGAAGAAATGTTCCTTGGGACTGTCCCGGCCACACCACGCAGATCTGCTGTTCTGCATGACTGTCTTTCGTTGCTTAACTGCAAAAGCAGCTCAGAAAATGAAGAGGAGGGTGTGAGCATAAGTTTGCCTATTAGACACAGGAAAAACCAGCTCCTGGCACATGGCTTTCCTCGGCCGGTAGGGAGGATGCATACATGTTCCCGGAAAGCTAACAGAAAACAAAACGAGAAGAAAAAATATATATCATTCAATTAAGACATTCAGCGAAACAAAACAAGAAAAGAAATACAAACAAAATCAAGACCGAGAAATTAATCAGAGCGGGATTTCTCTTTGGGCTTCGGGAAAAAAGGGGGGAGAGGAAATGTGCAATATGCAGGGAAGGAGGATGGAGAGCGGAAGAGAAGGAGAGAAAGCGAGCGGCCGACTCCCTGCTGATTGTGTTTGTGGGACAGTGGCATCCGAGTGGGGCCCAACGCGTGGGTCCGGGCCGCAGTGCCGTCCCTGCCGGCTCGCTGAAAGACGCAGAGCAAAATAACCTTTTTTCTTTGCTTGATTAAAGGCGGAACGGCTAAGGGTGGGAGGGATGGGGACAGACACGCACACGCAGGCACAAACAGCGGCGAGCGGGGACAGACATGAGGGGAGTGCACAGACGAGGCAGATCCGAGATAGCGGCTCTCCTCTGCTGGGGTGATACAGATGCACTCTGCTCACACACGCAATGACCAGTCCACTCAGACAAAGGAGACTGAAAAACACATTTAATGTAAATTTCTTCCCCCATAGGAAAACAGTTCACAATACAGGACCTTCTCACGTGTAAAAATGGAACATCAAAAGTCGCAAAACTGCACTGCATTTAAATAATTATTTAAAAAAAAGATTAAAAAAAGCATCTCCAGTCTCAATGGTAACTAAAAACATCAATTCACTTCTACATTAAACTTACCCAAATAAAAGTCCCTTGAAAGGAATTCAATCACAGTAAGAATAATCACAGTTTATTTCTGATTAGAAGAAACCCTCTTTTGTGCAAGTCAACTAAACTTGTATTTTAGCATTTATCTTTATGAGGGTGGAATGAGGGCATGTCTATAATGATATCCCAATTTAGTGATGTGAACAGTTGATGTTACTGAAGGTTTGAGCAAACTAACGTGTGGATAAAATACTGCCCTCTACTGGAAACCAGAGGTAGAGGATTCAGTCCAAGGCAAGTATGGCATCGCTATTGTTCATAAAACATCTATAGCAGATGAGAAAGACGCAAGGAGATTCAACATACATTCAAAAGCATGTAAACTGAAAAAGTCATTATGGTCATATATACTTTCGGCAAAACAAGGCTTACAATTCTCCTATAGAGACTTCCAGCTAGCCGAATCCTTGCTCTTTGACTAAACCCTAATAAATTCAAATGCCAGAACACTGGCAATTAACATCCACATAGACTGACAAGCTATATTGGTCTAAGTAGTATTACCTTTTCCTCTCATTCCTCCCTAAAACTCAAGCTCAGGAGGCTTCAATAAGACACTTGTTTACACCCGTTTCTTTTTGGTTATGCCACATCCTGGAAAAACAAAAATCTTACTGCACACTAACATATAAATTAAAAACATTCATCTAAAACAATGACACAACCAACACTCATGCGCATGAGCACACGGACAGAGGACACTGGAGACGCACTGCATTACTGAAGTCTCCATCAATTTCAGGACAGTAACCAAAGATAAATCTAACAATCACAGGGACTGCCCAACCCCCAAACCTAGTCTGAGTTTATTGCACTTTGGTGTGTCTCTCTCACACACACACACACACACACACACACACACACACACACACACACACACACACACACACACACACACACAGTAAACAGTAAACAGTAAACAGTTTAGTTATACTTGGTCTTGGACTGTTGGCCACCCATAGCCAATAGTACTCTTTCCCATCACTGGCTTTCCAGTGGTTGCACCATGGCAACATGTGTTTAATCAGTGCCCATGTAAAACTAACGCAACAGTACAGACACAGACAACAATGACCATAATACATGTTCAAATGTGCACTGGAATATACATATAGATGTAGCTCTCTGCATGACCATGTTACACTGAGCTTCTCTCTCCTTTCAAAAGCCTATAAATATATTTTTCCCGCATTGTGGTCATCTTCCTCAGTCTCAATGGCAATATGAACAGAAAGAGAGGAAACCAGCTTCACACGATGAAAAAGGTTAGAGGATAAAAACATGGCTACAAAAAAAAAAATTAAATTAATTATTTCACAGGGGGGGCCTGAGGGTAATGAGTGAGAGACCACTTCATAGACAGGAAGTGTCTAAATGTTAACCTTCCTCCCAAAGCAAGAATAGAATCCAGCTTGATCCAGGAAAAGGAAATCGTGTCACAGCCATGACGTGGTTCTCTGAAAAGACTGGATGAGTTTGAATCAGAATTTCCCTTTCTGTGCTCAGTGTTGAACGGGCAGAAATCACCTCTGCCAGGAATCGTGCTGAATAGGCTTCTGGGTTTCAGTACAGGCTGAACCCAAACAGACAGAGGGGTGGTGCGGACGGCTGCAGTCTTCTCACGACAGCTCGAAACTCGATCTCGCAGGAGTGGATACGCACGCACCCCTGACTTCTCCAGGGCCTCACAGTGCCGGCTGCAAGGCACCACGTGTCCCTGTTTGTGCAGCTGACGCGCACGTTAACAGCCAGTCTCACAGACCGGGCCGCCGCCGCTACTCTCGTCCACTGGAAAGATGCCAGTGAGGCCTCGATGATGCTCCGACACGACGGATCACTGGATCTTGGACAATCCGCTGGTGACGAGGAGCTTGAAGGGGACTGTGGAGCGGGACACCGTCAAGGGCAGTTTCTGAAGCTTGTGGAGACCTGTGGATGGAAGGGTCATCTTGGTGTAAAACTTGGGAAGAAGCTTGGGGGTGGTGGGAGGGGAAGAAAATCAGAGCGTGTGCCAAGGGCCACGACGAGAACCAGCGAGGCCCGGGGACCTGCAGCCGTGCTCAAGCGGAGCCGTGTTTGTGTTAGGTGGGGAGCGAGAGGGCGTCTTTTCAAGGGGCTCAATAGCTTGGCCTGCTTCCACCGAGAGGCCCCCCTACACCCTCCTGTCCCCACCACCCCCACCTTCCTGAAAGAATTGTACACTTTCTATCTGAGGAAAGAGTCCAGCCCACAGGGAAACGCAGCCTGTATGGGGAACACCTCTGGCACGCAGCGGCGTCCGAGAGCACGAGAAAGAAGGCTAATTCTCACGTGGGGGTTATGCACCCGTTCACTGCGGTCACAGCCCCCCCCCAGAAGACATTTTAAAAAGCACTGATCTGCCTGACACACTGAGGCCCACTGAACGCTGTGAGCGTGAGATTTAGAATGACGCCCTTCCCACAAGCCATGACTAAACTGGGGCCCAAGGGCAGAGCTGCGACTGTTAACCACAGAAGACATTTTAGAAACTCACCAAAGGCCCGAATGAGCTCCCTCTGCACGGCCCAGGTTACTGTATTGATGAGGGAGGCGGAGGTCAGCCCCGCAAACAGCATGTTGTACAAGAACACGATGTAGAAGTTTCCTAGCCAGTTATAGCGTCCAAAGTCCCCCAGCAGGTCAAACCGTGTGATTCCTGAGAAGCCATGGCAGAAAGAAGAAAAACAGCAGAGGAACATTTTGATTTTACAGTATAATGCTGTCCACGCACTAAACTTGAGTGTCATTAGGCCATTGGCCATCTATGTGTTGAGGGCTTTTGTACGTCTGACAGTGACATCTACTGGAGAACAGTGATATTGCAGTCTGTTAAAGCCCCTATACATCATCGCAAGGAACACACACACACACACACACACACACACACACACACACACACACACACACACACACACACACACACACACACACGACTCACCCAGAGTCCGGGAGAAGACTGGCAGTGCTGAGCTGAGAACTAGCAGGGACACGCAGTTCCCGATGATCTGAGGGCAGAGAACCGGACCCTTTTAGGGCTCTTGCTACACCTGCCTGTCATGTAGCCCCACCCCCCGAGCGGCTGTAAGACGCACCTGCGTCAGAGTGGTGTCCTGAGCGTGGGGGAGGAGTCCCGTGAAGAGGGGGGAGCTATAAAAGCCCACCACCGACGACAACATCAGATACCTGAGTCGCTGTGTCAAGGACAAGACGCAGCACATGGGACGGATCGCCGAGTGGGACAAAAATGACGATAGACCTACACAGCCAGTACCATGTTGTGTGACGAGTCACAAAGGATACAGGATGAGGACAGCCTGAACTGTGGCTCCCAGAGAGCCAAACATGGAGAAGGAAGCTGCTCCCAGGAGGGGGTCCTGCGGAGGCGAAAACAAAAGCCTTTGGTCAAACTGCATGCCTGTTTAAAAATCCTAAAATTGGTCAAAATGGCTACAATAAGCAGCGTGGCTGGCAGGCCAGTGCGGGGTCACTGACCTCCATTCCTCTGGGCATGGCAGACTCGTCGAAGAGCAGCTCCAACACGTGGAAACTAACCATCAGCACACACACGACCTGGGCAGACAGGCAGCAGGATGGCGTCAGACTGAGGACCTCGCCTCAACGGCAGCCTGCATGCTAGAGGCCCGGCGGCGCCACCTTACCGTGAGAGCCAGCAACAGCAGCATGGCCAGAGGGTAACCCAAGTTACGCTGCCATGGCGATGCACGCCGTCGCATTTCTGTAGGTTAAAAGCAGGCCATATAAACAAACTGCAACATACAAACAAACAAAACCCCACACAGACATTTTGGGTCTCTCAGCCATCCTTACCCAGAGCGACACGCCTAGAGCGGGTGCTAAACAGCTCCTTTCTCACAGCCTCCACCTTCAGCGCCATCCAGGTCGAGCTGGGGCTGTCTGCAGTGACACACAAACATCAGTCTCATCCTAATGTGCCATCGGCAATCTGAAAGATCCATTTAGCGGCCTGTCGCTCACACTTACTGGAGAGCTTTCTGGAGAGAGAGGCCTCTTCCAGCCAAGCACAGTTCATAGTATCCTCCACATCCTCTAGGAGCTGAGAGAGCGACACAGAGAAAGCATTAGATGCTTGCAGCCTCTGCACGGGTAAAGCTCACAGCTGTGAGGCAAGGTTATTATACCTAATGAAAACTGAAACTATAAGACGACATTTTCGTAAATAAAAGTACAAAAATAAAACAAAATAAACGCAAAGTAAATATTGCTTGCAAAACTAACTGTAAATAAAAACAAAATATAATGTATTTTAATCTTTATATGCTAACAACTTTATTTGTGGTATACAGGTGAAAATGCAAGGTATTTTCTTGTCATAGCAGCGCAAATGCACATAAAATAAGTACGCATTTGCGCTTTTACAAACAATCGATTGTCGCACGTATTCATGTGCATCCCTGGTCAAATACTTTTTTACCATTTTCACATACTATTTAGCTATAGTAATGATTTGCTTTGTTTAATAACCATTTCATAATACCTAGAACATGTTTTGACGACATAAGTGCATAATGTGAATTGTGTGTCCACTCGTGTAGGATTCTCTGAAGATCAGACACATGAAATAGCGCTACAATTTTCAATCTATCCCTAGAAATAAATCACTAAACCTTAAATGGAAACTGAAATATATAAAAACTAAGTATAAATATTGCTTACTAAAGATATATTTAAAATATAATGAACAAATGAATAAAATAAAACTAGTGAAAACAAATTAATCTAGGAATATTAGAAAAAAATGTAATATAAAATAAAAATGAAAAGCACAATAAACTGGCGGTAGCTTACTCGTGGTTTGACCAGTAGGCTTCCAGTGACGCTGAACATGCGGGACAGTCCGAAGGGGGTGCACACTGCAGGGAAGGGGGTGCAGAAGGGGACAGAGTGATGACACAGCAGCCAGGGTGCGTCCCGGCAGTGCTAGGGAGCCGGGGGGTGTACTTACAGAGTAGCAGCAGGACCCCACACAGCGAGATGCCTGAATACAGGTATGGCAGGTAATACTCCCACAGGTCTGAGAGAGAGAGGGGGGGGAGAGCAGTCTTACTGGAAAAAGTGAGTTTGTCATTTCAGCCAAATGTCAACAGGTGGTGCTGTTTTCGCACAGGACCAGGTCACTTTACAGTTTACATTTTTACACATTTACCTGATGCTTATAGCAACTTACAGTAGAGGGAAGCGCTATAATTTGTGCTACGTGAGAATTGAATCCATGACCTTTGCGTTGTTAGTGTCGTTTTCTACTTGTTGAGCTACAGGAAAGTGGAGCGTGACTCACCGTACAGACTCTCCCGGGCCGCATCTTGGTGTAGGAGGGCCGTGGCCACCCACACCATGCCGAGCACCAGCAGCGTGAGCAGAAGCAGCACCACAGCCGTCTCGTAGACCCGCGCCATCACGCCCTGCGGGCACAAAAGGGCAGGCGGAGTCAAGCACGCAAGTCCCCACGCAGAACCGCCAGGCAGAAAGGCAGGAATGTCCAGCGTGCGGTTGCGCTGTACCTTCTTGGAGCCAACGAAGCCTTCGGACTCGGTGAAGAAGTAGGCAAAGGGCATGAGGACCACCAAGGAGAGGTTAGAGAAGAGGAAGACGAGATTCCACAGCCCTGGGAGGGGAGCACGTGCGTTAAACTCAAAGTGTGGAGAGAGGGTCTGAAAGAAGCGCTCACACATCGTTTTCCATTTCATGAAAATGAAAAGCAGAGCTGCGCTCATAACAGCGGCCAAGAAAGCAGGAAGCCTGCTTCAGGAGCGCGTTATGAGGCTGTGCCTCAGTGACATCACACCCTCAATCCCGCTCTCAAGACTCCCGAAGTGAACGGCAGATATTTCATGTCGACGTGCAAAAAAATAAATAAACAGGAAGTAAGTTGTAGAGGCAAGGTGTTCCTCAGGGAGAGCAGAGAGACCCCTAACAGCAACCTCAACCCCGCAGACACTGGTAAGGAGGGTCCTTCATCACACCCTGATAGGAAAGCTCTTCAGGCACCATGATAGTCCTTAATTCTACTATTCACACAGTGCAAGGTCTTTTTATTTAGAGCTTTCTGGGGACGGCGTTGCCCAGGCTCACTAGGATCATGGGCTGGGTGGCAGGTAAGGAGGCCAGAGCTGCTCGGCTAGCCTGCTAGGCCGTGGGTCTCAGGGTGGGGCGGCGAGGGGTGGATTACCGTGGATGAGGGAGCCGTTCAGCCACTGCATGTAGTAGCTGTGCGGAAAGGAGAGCAGGACCTCATTGGACAGGATGGACAGGGGCAGCAGGAGGACGGCCCCCACGGCGACGGAGAGTGTGAAGGTGCACAGCCAAAGCCTGGGGGAGGGATGAGAAAGGAGGGAGGGGCAGAGAGGCAGTGAATTATCAGGGAGGGACTGAAACGTTAGCATGTTGAAATGGGTGTACAAAACAGGTGACTATCTGTGAAGTTAGAGAGGTATGTGTGTGTCGGGGGGGGGGGGGAGTAGGTGCCACTGTGGAGGGACAAAGGGCAACAAAATAGGACAGAGAGGCTCATGCAGCTGCAGACAGACAGGGCATCATTTCAATAGCACACGGATGAACAATTACAATTAAAGACGCCTGTGAATACACACGTGCTCCAAGAGCAGCTCGGTCTGACCCTAACTTACACCGTGGAGAGTAATAAACTGAAATATACGAGCAGATGGGGTGTCTTAGGAAATCAGAATCTACTTACGCAATCCTGTTCACCATGGCATCTTCACTGTCATCTGAAACAGCAACAGATGGGCATCAATTGGCGACAGCCACAAGTTTGCTGGGCTCAGCCCACCAATCGGCAGCCAGCTGTATTAGTCATGACACGCACTGCTCACATACCAGCGTTTAAGATAAATAAAATTGACAGTAGCTCCGTTCTGGTATATGCACACATAGCCAAGAAAATATCCAGCCTCTAAGACAGTACACAAAACATGTCAAGTGTAAGATTTAGGGACCTATGACACAGCAGAAAGACATGTGCTTTACGAGTTTGTAATATAAGATTTAGAGCGAGCTGACAGAGGTAAATGCCGTGATCGAAAAGTGGGAGCAGGCAGTGGGAAGGCAAACGACGGAAAACAAATCAATCTTTCTCCGTGTTGTCAAGCAGACACAGATCAGCTTGGCTCAGGCTGCGAGTCACAAAACGTTCCCGTGGGTAAACAGGAGCGTTTAGCCCGCATGCTCAGAATACCTGTGGGCATGACGAGAGCTCTGGGGGCACTGTGCCAAGCCCTCTGTGCCCTCCCGCATCCAACTCCTGCCCCAGTATGTTAATGGTCACTTCTGCCGCTTCGTTTGCACATTCTGCGCTCACTCACTGTGATCCCCGGCAAACAGACTTCCATTACTCTTGAGTAAGCATTTTAATTATAGCAAATATTATAATAAAAATGTTCTATTATAGGAAAAAAAATTCACACACAGTAAGAAGAAAATTTAATCGATTTACTTTTCAAAACCTTGATTGAGTGAAAGCTTTTATTCAGAATGCATTTTTTTTACTTAAAAAAAACAATAGTTTAACAGTATAACAGGCATATTATCCTAAGAAATGTGTATTTTTCCAATAACACCAGAAAAGCTGGAGATTGAGGCAGTAAATAAGTCATCATCCAGACACCAAAATGTTGACCTAATCTAAAAGCTCAAAATAATGACCATAATTGAAAAAGTAATGACTTTGAATGAATTTGTCTGCATTTCCGAAAAAATAAATATGGCTGAAACGCATCATTATGTATTTTTCTCCAAATCATTTTGTTTATAATACCCATTTTAAAAATGCAATAACCTTAAGAGGTTCTATGCTGACATATAAAAGAAGGTCTACAATGCAATTTGTTTTGTTAGCTCTATAAAATGAAAGCTTTTTGTCTTGCCACAGACAATAGATCATTTTAAATTATTACCCCTAAACAGACTCCTTCCATTCTTGGTTTGAATGTGCACTTTCTGAACCTAAACTTTCCACCTCTGTCAATTCTCTTCTAAATTCTGCTCATTTTGTGAGGTGGGGGAAGTCTTCAAACACTGTGTAGTGACTGTTTGAGTGAACGATCCTGCGACGGCTGCAACTTGGGCAGAAAGCTCTGCTCACTTACTCGTTTCACTAATTTGTAGCACTGCTACATTTCAAAGAAGTTACTACTACAGATCCAGGACAATCACAGATGAGTGGAGGGGGGGGGGGGGGGGTTGACATGGCTCACTGAAACACCTACTGAAAACCCAATCAACAGCCTTAAAATAGCACGAGCTGAAAACAACCCGATAAAAAAATGCAAAAAAGCACGCAGGGTCTCAGTGGGCCGGCAGGCGTGGGAACACAAACACCACACTCCCACCTACTCCAAATGGTGTTCCAGCCCCCAGCCTGTGCTCATCGCACCCATGACACAAATATGACGCAGCTAAGAGGCACAGGGCTGAGCAGAAAGGGTCCCAGGGGCGGGGATACTCACCCACCACAAACTCCGCGCTCTTCTTGAAGTGTGTGATGATAAGGTGGGAGACGATGTAGAGGCAGACGAAGAGCAGGATGCAAATCTGGTGGGGGTGCAGAATAAAGCTACATTAACACAGCGGACAACAGTCATCACTCACTACCTCTCCTCCAACAGAGCACCTGTACCTGCCACAGGTGCCCAGGTAATGGCAGCCACTTCTCCCAACGGCCCTAACCACGGAGGACAAGGGGATCGCCTAAAATGGCACTCTAGAGGGGATTGGCTCCGCCCTGTTGCTGCAGCCACACGACAGCAACCCCTGCTGAGCCAGACAGGTCTAAGCGTGCATGTGTCAGAGAAGATCGAACCCAGGTTGATGGCTGTCGGGGGCAGGGCCACACAGAGCACCTGAGACAGATCTTCTGAGATCCTGCTTTCACTGCCTTCATGCCTCACTGACCTAAATATGCCAGTATGCATCTAAGACATGACCGACACTAAGCTTAAGAAGTAAGAATTAAAGTATTCATGAGCCACCTGCCCTTCAAACTCCTACTGACAAATGGCAGCATGTGTGTCAGAACAAGCAATTATAAAAGGAAACAGAAATGACAAAGATGGTGGTGGGACTGGGGGGGAGCAGATTATCCATTTATCCTAGAAAATAAAAATACAGGTGGAGGCAGGAGTCGCGACGATAACAGACTTTACAATGTGTCTCCGGGAACTTAAGCAAAACCTAAATTTTAAGCTTGGAATTTATTATTTTGCGAAGATGGAAGGAGACAAAGAGACATTTAAGGTGCTTAGGAGAAATATTCCTGTTGTACATTGTTTTCCATTTGCTGTTCTTTTGAATTTAACTTTAAGGGGAGCCAGTTTACTGGATGCAATTAATGTAAAGCACTAAAGCACAAAGACTCAACACACAGAGGAAGGGGGCTGCTTTGTCAGTAACTTCCTTTGTTCCATTTTTTTAATTATTTTTTATTTTTAAATCAAGAACAAAATGTTTAAATACATTTCCCAGTGTTGTTATATTTGAAAACTTTTGTTTTAATGCTGTGGCGACAATATTCAATATGCCTTCATATTAGGGCTGTCCGATATGACCAAAATCTCATATACAGATACAAGTGATCTCATATTCAGATACAATATCTATATCATGTATCAAGATAAGAAGAAATTACATTATATTACACACGTCATACTTGTGGGTTTTTTTTCTATAGATCAACCTTGGTATGAATCACACAAAGAGAGACAAACAGGAGGCAAGTCAAAAATGTAACATGATCCACATAGACAGGAAGTGATCCACAAATATGCAAGACTATTTTCACATGTAGAAAATGGTCCATATATTTGTAGATATGAATAAATAAAAATACATATTTGTGGATAGTGATGCCTTTGATTTTTTTCCTACAGATCAGCTGCAGTATACGGAACCCCCACGAGGTCAGGGTGTGGAAATATTTTTCGAAATTTGAGTCCCCTCGTAATACTTTTCCATTACTAATAACTGTACTGTGTCCGTTTGAAGTACAAAAGTGACTAAACAAGACAGCTAAGCTATTCAACGTGAAGTGCACACACAAACATTGAATTATTAAGTTAAAACTCGCCCGTAAAGAAATCTGGAAAACCAAGGGGTGTCGCTTGCTTTTGCTGAAAGATATAACAGCCGGAAAACTGAATGTAAAAAGAGAATGTAAAGTAAATTTTATTGCGTCGTCATAGTTAAGGTTTAAACCCACGGCCGAACCCACGTTCAGGGTCCCTGGTACTCTTGCTTGATGATGTATGTGGGAATATGAGGATCTATACTGAAATATTCCAGAGACCCGTTTGGGTTTAATCCTTAACTCCAACACTGCGGTAAAGTTTGCAAATAGGAGGGAAGTCACACATGTGCAAAACACAAATGTGGAAAACACGTTTCATGTGTATAAATTACTCCGTATTTTTGTGGACGTGATTTTACACACCAATTTAAAAATACATATTTGTGGATAGTTAAATATTTGTGGATCAGGTACATATTTGTGGATTGACTTCTGTGGGTTATCAAGTGCAATAAAAAAAAAACAAAAAACTTCCAAACAAGTGCCGCATTCCATGGGGCGGCATGTAACATTGCATGCCATCATCCAAATAACAAAGCATTGCCGGTAAAGATGTATTTATGACACTAAGAAATAAATCATAGAGCTTAACTTGAAACGACAGATTTCTTTATTTCGTCACCCGATATGTATCGTCATATCGCACAGTCCTACTTCATACTGCTGGCAAACTAAAGCTTTTAGAGAAAAACCACAAGGCGACCTTGTGGACCGAAATACAAAAGAAATATATAAAAAGACAGTTCCGGTATCTCATGTAGTAGTCTTCAGCTGTGACAGTACTATTGCGGTTCCACTATTCTGTCAGCTGTTCCTCACTGAATTTCAGCACTGAAGCATCAGCAAATGCCCGGATGAGGGGTTACTTCCTTCCACCTTCTGCCCTCCTGCAGTCTTTCTGGCGGGAGACAAATCGATTCTTGTATCCACAGTCACATCGCCCAGCTGATGGATATCTGCAGGTCACTTAACAAGCACTAAAGGCCACGGAACACCGTCACCATGTCTCTATGGCGACGGACAGTGACTGGCACAATTCGACACATGCGTGTGCCCTCCAGCAACCCCCTGCCCCCTGAAACCTCAGTCCCACCTCCCTCTGCCTCAGTTCGTCACAGCCATGGTTTGCTTAATGGCTTTCCTTGATTTTTTGTTATAACACATTTTTAAAATTATCAGTGCTGGGTCATTCCATTTTAATTCAACATATTTCCAAAGACGTTTTTGCATAACAGCTTGTCCAATTCAGGACTGGGGGGTCCAGAGCTTATACTGGAACGTAAGGGCGAAAGGCAGGGAATAACCCAGGATGCGGTGTCAGCACATCACAGGTCACACACACCCTTCACACCTACAGACAGTTTGCTCACTCCAATTCAATTAACCTCTGCATGTTTTTCGATGGGGGGGGG